GAAAATCACTGAGCCAAACAGATAAAATGGACCACTGTCGATCGTAGACCTATTCAAATAGTAAACTTTTTATAGGAGTGACAAATGACAGCATTTGTAATTTCGTTTTAGGAACACAGAATCGAATGTTTCTCATAGAAAAAGGTCCTTTGTTCTCTTAGGAATTATCTAAAACCGAGTGTTTTTTTTAGCAGCAACCTCACTCGAAGCACAACGAAAAGATTTGCCCATTCTTCCATCACCGCGTTAAAATCGGATAATTAATCACGTTTAATTGCCCTTTTCACTTTGTTAAAGAGGAAATTATTTGTTATGAAATTCATTAAAGCGTCAAGAATTAGGTCTAACGTAGGGATTTAAAAAAAGCTGTGTAATGCATAAGATGACGGGACGTAAGGTGCATCACAAATGAACGATTGCGCCACTTTCCCTTCAATCGAGACAAGAGAATCGAAGATGTAAAGTACAGTACATATAATTATAAAAGAAAAGTCACGATTTTTTCCGTAATTAATATTTCTATTCGAGTAATTTGTTTTCAAACCCCACGTGGAAAGAAAGAATAAACTTATCTTCGTCCCCAATTCTGGAACGTTGGGTCATTCGTCCCACTTCCTCTTAAGAAAAGTCCTCGTGTTTAAGAAAGACATTAAGTAAATGTAGTGCATAGGGCAAGATACAGATAGAGTCAATAGTACTTTTCGTCAATTTCACGTGCTTAATAGTGGTAGAGAGTCACGAGGGTCGACAGATCTAATTATCAATCAGAGCGTGTAGAAACAAATATTTTTAGTATCGTTTCCGAAAGAAGAATACGTTCAACGATGAAAACAATGAGAAAGATAGCCATCGAGAAGATAACATTTAAATCTGAATGCAGTAAAATAATCTTTACATCTTTTTAAGCTATTCAATACAATCGTTTAAGTGACCCTTTATAATACAGAACCACATCTCTGAGATCCGAATATTAAAAAAAAAAAAATCCAGCAGAGTTGTATAACTTTCCCGGCAAAAAAGTAAAAATTACATATGGCGTCATCTGTTATGAGATTTTATTATTATAAAATGAAAAAAAAAGAAGCTTAATTTTCAGCGTAGAGACGAGAAAAATTGCAAATGCTAACTAAGTCTGACTCTATTCGAGATACGAGAGGTTACTCCTTGTTTATCTCCCACCCCCTCGTCCTTTAACCACCAAAATTTAATAGCAACGATGCCCCTAATACGCCAACCACACTGCAAAATTTCAGAAATTTTCGACGAAAGGCACGGGAGTTATTAAGCTTCGAATCGGGTGAACAAAATCCTGTCCCCCCTCCATACACGAACATCCATACACGTAGAAAAATTTGGGGGAGTTTTTTCTGTATTTCCTGCGTAAAAACTACGTAACTGGTTAATTTCCACAGATCAAATAATTGGCTTATTCGTGAAATACGTCTCGTAATTGTACCATTTACGAAAATTTGTGTGAATAAAAATATTTTGCCATTATCTACATTTCGAAATTCTTAAATAAATAGGCACTAACGAGTAAAAAAAAAAAAAGTTCTTGGATATTTTTCCCCTTTAACTTCCTTTCATTGAAGGTTAGAAGAAAACGAAATAAGTATATTTTTTTGTTGTATTTATATCCCGAAGAACATCGAAATAAAATATCTTTGCATAACACGCTTCGTCTTATATCCCTCGTTAATAGAACAACTTATTTCTTCACAGGCACTAGTTTTGTAATTGCAGTTTAATATCGGCATATAATCCTCCTTGTCTTTTAGACACACACAACCCGCGTACAATACAATAATTTCTAAACAAACGTATTCCTCCTTAACCACAATTCTAACACACACACACACTCTAATATGAGGTATTGCCTTCTAGTTGTCAATATTTTTAAAATTATCCCTTTAAAAACTCGATTTTTCTAGCATCTAAGCCACCCTCAGCTTATTTTTTAGGGAGGGAAAGCATACAGGCACAATTTAGAACAGATTTTAGTAAGAAAAAAGGTCGGAAAAGACGATAAAATTAACAGAATTTCCCTCGTCCTCTACAGGAAAACGAAGACGTCGTGAACAATTCCATACTAAAATTGGTATTATTTATTAAAACAGTGGACTGGAAGAGTGGCATTTATTACTCGTTTAGAAGAGGCCATCGATTTCTAAAAAGGTAAGCACGTAATTAATTAATGCACCTTACTGATTTATTGTTTTCGACAGAGGCGAGACAACAATCGACCGGAGATGTTTATTTTCCTTTATTTTCCTGCGGTCGATCCGACCGAAATGTCACGTTTTCTAGTCATTCAACGCTTAATTAGCATCGCTCGAGTGACTTACCGAAATATATATATATTTTTTTCCTTCGAAATTACGCAATTTTCACGTTTAATCAATAAAATAAAATATTGAGTAAAGAGATCGACTTTGTTGTTTTTTTTTTTCATATTATGAATAATTGTAAACGATAATTACGAATTTGTAACCGGACAATTAGCATATTTAACTGTTGATTTCGAAAGATGTAAAAAAAGTAGATCTAATTCGGCTTCTCTTGTAATTTCTCTGTCAAAAGAGTCGACAGTACGGTTAATTCTTCCAGTATTATGGCCTACAAAGTTGAGGAGGGAATGGAAGAAAATGAGCTTTCTAGTGTTTTTTTTTTTTTTTCCTTTTTTTTCTCCAGCTATTTCGTTAAAATTATTTAGGTTATGTAAAAAGAAACTTGGCTATTTACTCAATAATTTAAATAGCACGCTGACTAAAGCCTTTTAACTTTTAAGGAGAAGAAAACAGGAAGGATACACTCGAGATTCTACGCACAAAAACGTTCCTTATTGATTACAAAAACGGTTCTAAAAGTGTAGAAAAATGGCCATTTTTCCCCTCTAACTCGTCATAAATTTAAAATTAGGTTAATCCGGTTTTTTACAATCGAAAGTTTAAAAAGTTCCGGTTTATTAGTGGAGCGAAAGCGTTTATTCTATAGAAGAATAAAGGAGTTCGATCGACTGTCTAACTAGGGACACGTTTGAATTATTTATCGAGAGATAACCGTTTGACCTAAGGTGGATGGGATTTGATAAACGGAAGCTATTGTCGTCGGCCGATACGACAAACTAATTAAATAAAACATACGTTTTTCAAAGTTTGAACAGCCGGATCGTGCCGAGTGAACACAAATGCATATAAATAGGCTTTGTCCGCAACGTACAGGAAACCGATGCACTTTAAGTCAGTATACGTCTCTCCCTCATTCTAATAACTCTATTAATTATAACAAGCAGACAAACTATTGCATAAATCGTAATCAATCGTTACTCGGTAACAATTAAAATTACGTAAACAATCGATAAACATTAGGCTAGTGTTTTACGTAACTATAAGCTCAACTTACGAGAAGAACCGGTTACTTTTATGTAAATTTTATAGATTTTACGTCTTAAATTATATATTTATTAAGCTTTAAAGAAAAGAAGATGCTTGTTTACTAAAAATTAAGATAAAAAATTCGCCCGACGATAACCTTTTACCGATCAAGAGCGGGGTTACGAGAAGGTCGGGGGGTTGAAAAACTAAATTTAAATACTACTCAGACAATTAGAACGGCGATGGCCATTTAATAATTCTTCGTTGGGCAATTAAACTAATTGCGCAAAGGACATTTTTATCCGGATATAGCATCTAATTTGGTTCGGGCGTGCAACCGAATAATTAAAATAATATAATATTAGATACGGTAACAACTACGATCGACATTTTCGCAACAGGATTACACGTTAAAGAAATCGAAATAGCAATTATCCAATTCGAGTTTTAAAATATCAATATTAAAGACGGTTGACAAAATAAACAATGTAGTTTACTACACCTATATTTTCTCCCCCCTTTTGCACTCCAATTTAAACTATGCGAATGCTTTACTTAACTCGCATATTTCGAGAAATAAGGACACGAAAAACTCGTTTCGCCTTTTTTTCTTTTTCCATTTGATAAATTGTGTTATGGCGGGGGATATAATTTTTCGTCATTTATTTTGTTTCGTACGGGAATTCTTTTTTTTCCCCCCGAATTTTAGTGGCATAATTCCACTTACGCGCCCCGTAGTTCTGTATGTATCGAATGTGGCATGCTACAGCACGGAATACATCAAAAATAGAAACGATTAATCTAGTTTTAACACTCCAGAAACTCAATTTTCGTTCGAAACTAACCCAGTTTAAATTTACATAAGCCACTTTTAACTTTTAGAAAGTTCTTAAGAGGAAGAAACACCGGAAGACATCCTTCCACCCCCTTAGAAATTCCTCGCTTTTCGAGTAGAAATTTTACCTCCAATAATTTCAATACGTAAAAAAAAAAGGGGGGAGGGGGAAGACTTTTCTTTTCGAAGATCTCGTCGAGCGTAACCGATAGTAACGAGCGCAAATACTAATAATAATAAATCGTCATCACGTAAATTTGCATGCACTTTCTATTGTAGTAGGAGGATAGAAATTTTTCCTTCTAAAAAGAAGGTAATTCGAGTTAATTCGAGAGGGTAAACACGTCGGAACTTTTCCGATTTCTCGAGTAAAACACTGGAGACTTTTGACTTTAATGCACCCTGTCACCTAAGACTGTAGCGTGACCGTGAAGCATCACGCACGTGGATGGTCACCGGAGACGAAAGTACACGTTACATCCCCCCTCAAGACGATCGATACAATAATACGTTTCTGCATAAGAAGTGACGGCCATTATCGTTATAATATTAGAGTATAAACAAGTTATGCTCATAACTCGGGCCGTTTTAAAGTGGAATAAAACCTGTTTAACCCTACCTAAACCGATTTTTTTCCTCGGGTTTTTTTTTGTTTCTTTCGTAACGCTTATTTTCTAAGGCAAGGTCGCGCGGATTGTTTTCGGGTCATCGTCGCTCTCGTTCGATCCGACGGTGACGAAAAATTACTGTACAAGGGGGGAAGTGTCTAGAGAAAAACAAAAAAAGCTTACCTATTTTGGCAAGACCGGCAATGACTATCCATAGGGAAATGATGAAAGGGGTGGAGACGTGTGGAAAGTCGACGGTGGTTACTTGAAAGCGGTGCTGATTACCGGAGGCAGAAGATTCGTACTTTCTATCCTCGTTATTGTCCGCGTACGTTATCGTATTGATAACGGGCCTTTCGGAAGTTTTCGTCACCGTTTTTTCCGTATTTCTTTCGTCCTCTCCCTTAACGGTTACGGTTGTTAGCAGCCAGATGAATAAACACATTCGAAACATCATCCTCGGTTCTTACTCATGTTCTGCTGGCGTAAACACTGTCGACGTTTATTTCATTCACCCCAGCTGGTACTATTGGATGTGATGTCAAACACGACCGCCTTCTTATTGGTTAGGTGATGCGACGTCATAGAAGAGTGACGATCGATGGTTATAAAACTTTCTTCACGTCTCCCCGTGTTTCATTCGTTCTTCACCTCACTAATCCCGCAAATAATGAATAAATATAACGAATTAAACGAATTAAAATACGATCCAATTATTTAAATAATTTATCAAGAAACAATTAAAGCAGTGTTATAAACATTCCTGCTTTCTACCGAATACAATAGCGTTAAATAGGAAACTTTTTACATTATTTTTTATGCTCCTCTTATTCTATTCAATAAACGACAAGAATTAATAGCATAAAAAACACACAGAATGTAAAATAAAGCCAATTTTTACAAGTGTTTTACAGTCTGTTACAAGTGTTTTGCAGACTGAAGTGACGTAATTATATACCTATTTAAATATACACCACTTTTCAATTAGACGTCTCCTGAATTGTTCGACATTCACTAATCGGGGAGACCACTACACCCAATATAGTTATTGGTATGTTTAGGGGGTATGCAAAATGCAACTCACCCCCTTTCTAAGTATTTTCTCCATTAAAGTCGGGTAAGGTCATATCGTTTCCCATTTACAGATTCCCCCCGTAAAGATTTTTGGATCAGCTATTGTTTACAGTCTTCTGTGAGTAGTGGTGGCTCACACTAGATAATTTTGGACAAGTGGAAAACGTAATTCTACATGACATTTTTAATGGTTGAATAAGCTCTATAAGAAGGCCAAGTACACTCGTATACTTATAGATATTCCTACTAAATATACGAATTGATACTTAGCCTTTAAAAACCGAATTAATTAAGCAAAAACTTCTTTTATTAGTTTCCTCTTCTGTTTTGATCTGGAGAAACAATTTTGTTAACAATTCCGTCACCTGTTTTATATTAAATAATAATATATTTCGGTGTATCTAGTATTATGTTCCAATATACAGTTTACATTGATATGATTACAATAATAGTTTTCGTTCTACTTGTCAAAATACAGTACATAAAGGGTTGATGTTTTGTCTAAAAATATCTCATTTTATCACCTCTACACTTGTAATTTTATCATTTTAAAAAGTCTATTTTAAAATAAATAAAGGTTTAAAATGAAATTTTACATTATCTTCTTGCTGTGTGAGTGGGTATTTGTGTGTTGTATGTGTGGTTTATGTTATACGAGGTTTGTCTTCGTCTTGTGTATTGCGTGTATAGTACGTGTATTATACTATAATAAATACATAAAAATATAAATCTTTTAAAATAAATCTCTTAAATTATAAATTGTGAAGAAATTACGTTGGTTTTATTATATTTTAAACGTGTTTAAATGACATATCGAGCCGATTTCAATTATATATTTGCAAAGGGGGGAAATGTATCATTAACACCTCATAATCTAGAAATTAAAATTCACTTTTCGTTTAATTTTTTGAAGCGGAATTAAATGGAAAATATTAGCACTTTGTGAAATTTCAAAACTTTTGTTTGGTTGGAAACTTATTGCTAAGAAATTAATGATGCCAATTATATGCCAATAACATTCATTGTTCGGGAATGTGTACCTTAAAAACTTTTATGCTTTGCTAATTTCGAACAATTATGCCATTGATAATAGTTTATATCTAATCGTCTCGTTTTAATTAAGTAATTTATTACAATTTAGCAGTTAACAAAGTTTCATTAATTAACCTCTCCCTCTCACCTGGGGGGATTTCAAAAAATTCCTTACAGTGTACTGTACATTCTCAGGACCTGTCAAACTTAAAGGGTCGGAAGGGCATGGTTCCTTTGACTTCTTTGTTCTTATCGATATGATCTACAGCTCTGTTAAAGCCCCATTCGAGCCATTCTGTCCTAGATTTGTACCCGAAATCATGCCCTTCCTCACACATACAAACATACATAAAAAACCCCGAATTTTTTTGCATTTCTTTTATCTTTAAAGGTTCCCTGTCGACATAAAAATATTTTTACTATTATCTGTATTAATAATACCATCAGAAACGCTATTATTCATACACGGGTTATTCGGTAAAATTGCATTTAGGTAGTTCTTACGGTGGCCATCTTGTTTGTAAACGCCTCATCCACAAACAAGATGGCGATCGGCGCAGCTACTTACAACACCGACATTTAAAGAAAAAAAGTCTTTCACTCACTGTGCTCATATTTCTAATTCTTTATCTTCAATTTCTTCGGTAAAGAACATGGTTCAGATGATTCGTAACTTCATCCTTTTCCATCGTAGAAAACATTTTTCGCATTCTTAACACACCAGTGTACTGTACATTCTTCCTCTTACGATCCAACATTGCTCACAACAGTCTAGTCGATTTCTACAACCTTTCCAGGTCCACCAATTTTTATTCGCATCAAATTAGACTATGAAATCATCATAATGTGTCGTATGAAATTCGCCCAGACAACAGCTGTTTGACTATTCACTCCCACAATCAAACAGATCACGCGAAACGTACACACTATGCAAATTAGATGCCAAATAAATAAATAGTTCCCCAATAAATTTACGCTAAAAGTACTTAAAAATGACGAAAGGATTCAGGAGATTATTATAATTACATGCTGGATAATGCCACCGAAGTGCCTTCAAAGCGTTATCTCACCAGTCAGTATCGTAAAGAAAAGATGGCGGAAACCATGTGTTTGTAGGTCTTCCAACAAACACATGGTCCAAGATTTTTACATTGGACTCTGTTTTAAATTTAATAAGGAATTTAATATCGCTAGAATACGAATAAATGGCTAGATATTATACTTGTAAGATACATATTTTCTTGTATTTTAGAAAAATAAATCTTCTTAAAAGTAAAGATAAATACTTCACTAGTTATATAGTAAAATTATTAATAGTTGTAGATTCTTTTTATATGAATTAAATAGGAGTATAAATTACTCGTGACAAAACTATCAATGATCAACGTCCAATACACGGAAAAATATCCTCTTCCAAATGGGTGGTAGAGTACTGTATTAGTAAATCAAACAGAGAATCTCTGCAAATATTCTTTTCCATGGGGATATAAAAGAATATTTGCAGAGATTCTCTGTTTAATTTATTAATACTCTACCCGTATTTTAGATTTAATAAAATGTATATTTTTGACTTATTCCGAAACCGTGTCTTCTTTTAATTATTCTTTACTTCACAACTGAGTGTATAAGTAGACACTGGGCATCTTTAACACCACTCTATTCGGGTGTGTAAGGTATTCCTGAATAAAGAATGATGTTATCTACTTATACACCCAGTTGTGAAGTAGAAAATGTATATTTTTCTTTATATAAATTATATTATTAATGGCTAACATCCTTATTACCTCATCAAAAATCATGTGAATGCTATATTCTTACTACCTTCATCCTGTCGCTCATCTCCCCTAAAATAGGTACTGATCAAGTGTACTCTTTCATCGCACCGACTATAAATAATTACTTTAGATTCCCGTTTCTACGACTTAATTTATTTCCTGGAAAGTCATACAACTCGATGTCACAAATTAAAATTACGTTAAACAATACACAGAAGTGTCAACAAAAATTTGCCAATTAAATACGATATTTTTAAATCATAGTAGAATATTTATAACAGGTATAAAGGGATATTTACTGTATCTAAGATTTGATAATTGATTAATAAATAAATGACCCGGGTGTAGTTTTACGGACGATTGTTAACTTATATTTTCAAACTGTAAATCGATTTGTTCGAAAAGTGAGTAGTTCGGAAACTGAGGTTTGATTGTATTTCTTTTCTATTTACAATAAAAAAAATTAGTGTGAAACGTGCTGGTTTTTTTAGAAATTATCTTGATTTCTCAAATTGGAACTTTTTACCTTGAAAATCTGGGGTAAGTGTCCCTTTAATAGTTTAATAGAAGGTACACCTGGGAATACCTGCCGGGAAGCATTCCCCTTTTAGTGCATCTGGTGTGGAGAGGAGTATATAAATAAGAAAGAAAAGACAAAGTTGTAGGGGGTGGATGCTTAAAAAAGTTTGGGAACCCTTGGTATACAGTAATTTTTATACGCCTATTATGTGAATTAATTAAAATTAATTTCGATTCAAATAATTATTATTTTTAACTAGAGGTGGCACTATATGTTTCAGTGTTATTAAAATATCTCACTAGTACTGTGGTTCTTAACCTGTGGTCCATGGATCACTGGTGGTTCCTGAAAGCACCCGAAGTGGTCCGTGAAGTTATCCCAAAATTATTAAATAAATGACGACGAGTTGATGACAATGCGCGATATGTAAGGTGAGAGCCGATAGTGGACTGGGCTGGGGTATTGTGTGTGGTCAGGAAATATGAAATTGGAAGGCACTAGCAATAAATTTGCATTTGAAGATAAAATCAGTGCGTTTATCGCTAAAATCGACCTATGGATCAGCAAAGTCGAAAGAGAGAATTTTTCTGCGTTTGATACATTGAACCCAATTATTGATTGACAGTGTGCCGAGATTAAAGGACAAATACAAAAGAACATTACATTCCATTTGCAAAGCTTGAAAAATGAATTTAATCACTATTTCCTGACTGCAAGGACAAAGGTATTCGGAAACTGATTTGCAATCCTTTCATAGTCAACATTTCTGAGGTGCCGGATGAAATNATGTTTGTATCTAAGCGCGTATTACGTCTTTCCGAAATATCCAATCGAGTAACGTGTAAGAAAATTTTTTAGTAACGCTGGTGTCGAGATTATCGGATTCACTAATCCTGTTCTTAATATCTCGGGATTTACTAATCCTTCGCTAAAATTTGTTGGTGAAATCCTCGCGTCAGTAATCTCGGTATTAGTCTAATCGCTGGATTTACAAATACCACGATTAGGCAATGTTGGTGAAATACCCTGATATAGTTTACAAAAATTTCCTAACGTTCCCGTATTTAAATTTACATTATTGTTCTGCATAATTATAGCGAACTGTTCTTTTACCTTCCGCTTTACATTGTTTTTTCTCTAAACATAATTTTTAATTTTAATTTGTTTGCAGACAACGAACGTAGAGACGATAAAATTTATCCATGAAACTTTCGTTCTGATCTCGCTAATACGTTTGGAAGAATAATGGCAGCTTAAGGTTACGTGATCACCAACTGTCAATACAAAAGTATTCTTTATATGGTCACACACTTATTATAGGCTCTCTAATTTGCACTTCAACTCGTGCTATATGATGTAGAGGATAATTCGTTTTTTTTTTTTTCTTTCTTTCTCCCATCAGACTAACAGATATTGAAACTTCGAAAAAACATTTTCAATAATATTATTTTCATGTTAATTTCAGCTTAAAATTAATATTGTTCTTTGAAATCGGTTATAAAATAAATGTCAAATTAGAATTTCAAAGAAACCTTAGCAATAAATTTCACTGAAGGTTCACTATATGCAAAATTTACGTGGAATAGAATTTTATGATGTTTGTTTAATGTTATTTACATTTAAAGCCTGCTACTAAGTAATATAGAGTTATTACAACTTTTAACTGGATTTGAAAATTTAAATAAGAGATATCAGGTTTTTCTGCCACATAAATAACAACAATAATGAACAGTCCATAAAGTCAAGGTTTTGCAGACGGACGATGTGAGCTGATTGATGAAATTTTTATTGCAGAACTTTGATAATCTGGACATTTTTGGATTTTTGCAAGGACAGATCTTTAGTTAGGTGAAATTTATATTGAAATAATCAATTACCGTATTTATTCTATATTTGATCACTCTTACGAACTTTAAATGTAATTAAACTATAATATTTTAAATTTAATTAATACAAGTGCAATACAGTGGGTGATCGGTTAACGAACACTTTCGCGAAAGATTTTTATGTTCGGACAACGAAAACGTGATCGGAAAACGAACACCCCAGAGAACAAACACAAGAAGCGGCGTAAAATAATGAATACCGATTGGTCTTCCATTCTCTTCCGGCAACAATTCGAAACTTTTCGACATCGACGCTCAAGCTGGTATATACCGATCGGATAGTATTCCTCCGAACTTTGAAATACTTCCTTGTAATTCCAGCCTTTTATTTTTCTGACAAAACAATTCTTTTGTGTATTCCCGAGACTGTCGGGCGGGCACTCGTTAAGTTTTGCGTCTGTTTTTCTTTTCGAAAGGTGAGAGTATAATAGCAAAGGTAGAGAGAGTGGGCAAAAGATGCCTAATGTTGCTGGGTTATATGGCGTGAACAGGTCTACAGTAGGCCCCAGTTCAATCTTATTTAAGAAAAATACTATATAATCAACAGCGGCTGCCTTAACCATTGCGAGGCTCCGGGCGGCAGATCTTTGCGAGGCCCTTCTCTTTTGTGCAAAGTATGTGAATTGAAAGTAGGTATTTCTGATGATTGACAAGAAATGCAAAAGTTATAAATGAATAAATTTAGAGTTTTAAAATATTATATTAGAAGATTTATAAAAGTTAACAAACATAAAGACGACAAATTATTATTATTTTTTTACTCTTTCCACTCTGTGGACACTAAGAGAGCAAACCCTAATGGTCCTGCTATAAGAGTATAGCAGGCCCATTAGAGTTCGGCCAGGCACACAATCCGGCGACAGGGTGGTGAAAGACTGGACCCGACATATGCGAACGGACCCCCCCGAAAATGTCCTAAGGAATCCTTGACCCATTCGGATTCGATCCTGTGTCTTCCAGAGCGGTAGGCTGCCATCTTGACCGCTAGGCCATCCGGTCTACGACAACAAATTATTAATGATGATAAATGCCTTAAAAAATATACACTGGATTTAAAATGAACCATTTCAACATACAATCTTGTGCAGTCAGCTAGATTCATGAGACTTTAGGTAATCATCCAAGTGTTTTTAATCACACACTCCTTCATTGGATCCAATTCTTGTATTTTCTAGTCCGAACGTTCGACACGGAAAGCAGTAAACGGCATCCTTTGTTTGTGAATAAATCATCCAGCACTTGTCAAGTTTTTCACCATTAGCTAATATTTTACTGTAATGATATTCGCTGAATCGCCATCCATTATCATTTGCAGGGAAAAAATTAACCCGGATTGGACCTTTTAATACAATCTCAGTTTGGTCTACATCAGTAATTGTTAATGGCCACAAACCTGGGTCATTTTGAGGATTCAGATTTTCAATTCTGCCAGTCATGAATGTAGACATAGACTCAGATACGTATTCTTGGCTGGATAGGGTTGACAGCGGCAGTGGCATAAGAGACAATGATGATGTTGACTCATTATCCTCGTTAATATTACTAGGTGGCAGCGGCACCCATGACGATGTTGAAAGAATAATTTCAGCTAGGTTAGGGTTACAGTGCAGTAATGTGCCACTTTCAGTCAATGAAGGGTTTCTAGAGATTTCTTGACCATCACTTTTCATATATTTATATAAAGGTCCACGTAGATTTTCTTCTACCTGCTTTCTTTTGATAGGTCGTTTCCTTTTTTGAACTACCCGACTCAAATTTTCTACCGGCATCACGCAACGACATTCAGCTAAGCATTCAGGTCCAAAAAAAATCCCTTATCCTTAACCATTCGAGTGTCGCGTTGCGTGAGTGATGCACGCAAGGCTTTCTTCCATGCTCATAATGGGTTTGGTCATGAAGCCACGAGGGACGNGTACTGTTAATAATGTAAGATTCACTAAAACTTAATATCATTTAATGTTTATTTACCCACTGAAAGATATGTGCCATACAAACGATTATGTAGCGCATACAGCTGCTAGCAAAATAAGCGTCAGGTGACAAGAATTGACAAACGAAATGAAACACGGGGATAACCCGAGCATAAATCGTAAACACCATGAATCACGAAAGTAACAAAACAGCGCGTTCAAGTGAGTTTTCTAAGCGCGAGGCGCAGGATTCAAATAGTAATAAATTTTTCAAATATGTTTTACAGTCAAATTACAAAAAATATTATTATTCACTGATAAATTAATTAATTTTGATATCGTTAAATTAATCTTACTTTTTATACGAATGTGAGATTGAATAAATCTAAATGAGAAATTTTATTTAGACACTTATTAATAATATATACTGTACTATGAATTAATCAAATTAATTTTATTGTTATAACTAATAGCTAAGGATAAAATAAAAAGTTTTAAATATCAACTTTTTTCTATTCGGGTTGTTGCGCGAGACCCCTGCAAGAGCGAGGCCCCGGGCGATTGCCCTGCTCGCCACCCCCTAAGGCCGCCTCTGATTAGATGATTGTATTATCAACTTATATACAAATTAACGATTATAAATTATTCTATTATAGTAAAAGTTTGTTAAATCGGCACCTACGATTCGAATATTACAGGCACTGCGTACATTTTGTATTAGCGTACAATGTTAAACAAATTTAGATTCGAGGCATGCCAGATTATTACAAGAATATGCCAACTTTTCCGAGAGTGCCGGATTACTGACATTAAGGATAATTGAGTGAGGGATTAACTAATAAACTGTGAATATAGTTCATAGTTTGTTAATGTTTTTCATTTTACAAATGTTTTCAGACTATTTTATTGATAATACAGCATCAGCAGTCCGAATAAAACGAGCATAAAAATACACGAAAATAGAATATCAAATTATACAATTGGTAATTTGAATATTTACATTTGAAATTTTTTTTTTTTTTTTGTGTGTATCGTTCTATTTGATGTGCTGATGATAGACTAAAATACCAGTAGACCCCCCTATAACACTGTTGATAATTCCGTGTTATATGATTTCCATGTTGTATGAGTCACTTAGATTTTACAAATACGTGAGCCGTTCACAGCCAGGCACACGTATTTGTAAAATCTAAACGACTCGTACAACATGGAATTCATATAACACGGAATTATCAACAGTGTTATAGGGGGGTCTATTGTAATTCAAGGAAATATTATAAACATTTTGATGCCTGATCTTATTACTGTAATTATCTTTCAAGACAGTTGAAAATGCTTCTAAGTTTTACACAATTCTTTAATTAATTGTGAAATTTCAAGATTACCTGAGTCCATGCAGAACATTCAATATATTTCACTGCCTTTAGTTCTTCAGCTAATTTCTCTCCTTGTTCAATAGTTATTGGCTTCTGTTTATTTTTATCTAACTTTTCTATGGTAGCAGCATCATCTCGGAGATCGATCTTTGTCCCTATCAATAGGAATGGTGTCTTCTGACAGTGATGAGTGACTTCCGGAAGCCACTGTAATTAAAATTTATAAGTTATTTGTAAACATATAATTTTATAATAATAATTGTAGCTTTATTTAAAAATTTTATTAAAATATGATTTACTTGTTTATTAAATAAAGCTATGAAGATAAAGTGAGATAAATGTAATCTTTAATATGCTCTTGTTTTTTGGAAACTAATAAACAGTGCAATAAAGGCTGCTGCAGTATATTTTATTATTTTTAAGAAATATAGCAATGAGTTGTGTAACTTTCCCGGCTGTTATTTGATTTAATTTAAAAAATAACTTTTATATTATTAATTATTAGAAAATGGGTAGGTAGGTTTTATTAGATTAAGGCAACGCGACACATGGGCGAACTGCCGAGGGGGAATGCCTCCGGGAGATCCTTCATGGGAAGCTGACCTCTATTCAGGTGTTACTGACGTAAAGAAAACCCGGAAAAATCCAGGTGGTGAGGCGCGAACCCTACGACCAACTAAGCGTTCAGTGGTTTTATCCCCTGGGCCACTGGTAGGCGTTATAAAATGGAAAAAGACTTAATTTTGAGAGGAGAGACAATCTTTTTTTAAAAGAAACAAAATTGTATATGCTAATAACAAGTAAAATCTTCATTAATTAAGTCCGACCCCACTCGAGTTATGACACGTGACCATCCTCTATCTCCTCATTCCCTCGACTTTTAACCACCAAAGTTTAACAGCATCAATACCCCTTATACATAATCTACCATAACAAATTTCATATCTTAATCATTACCCCATCCTGAGATATTAAACTAAATAGATTCCCACACATACAAATCCGCGAAATTTTTCTTCGTTTTTTTAAAAAATTTTTTGGGTCACATACGAGAATCAAAACAATTGTAAAATTTTGATCTTCGTATACACCGTTTCCAGATATAATATATTGTTGGCATGTTATATAATAAATAAGCTATACAATAAATAGAATTTATAGTGGAAAAATATTTTAATCTCGGGTTTCAATTACCAATTATCATTTATAAAGAGTGATAATTTTAATATATTTATATGGCGATCTTTTATCCAAATATTAATTAAACACTATAAAAACGAGAAAGTAGCTTTTTAAACATTATTTTATTATTTCCCTTACAGAATTTTAGTAATTTCTTTAAAATACATTTGGCAGATAATGTTTAATTCCAAAAATACTTACTTTTATTCTCACATTTTCAAAAGATGAAGGAGAAACAACAGAAAAACAGATCAAAACAATATCTGTTTCAGGATAACTTAAGGTCCTTATCATATCATAGCATTCTTTTCCATCTGTGTCAAATAAATCCAACTTAAATGACTTGCCATCGACCATTATTTTCATTGTATAGTTTTCAAATGGCTGAAAAGATTAATTAATTCGTTAAGAAAATGCTGAAGTCAATTAAAAATAGACATTTGTAAACTGGCAATTACATCTTTTGTTTAAAAGAGTGAAAGAAGACTTGAATGCCGATTAATTAGTGAAATTGAAATTCATAAAAACAACGTTTACAACATTGTTTTTGTGAATTTCGAGGTTTTCTTCAGTTTTTCTAAATCGAACTAAAGATGGTTCGATTTCAAAGCCTGACACCAGACAGACGACAGTGGGAATTTTTAGGTCTACGATTTACAAATTTTGAAAATTGCAACCCAATGAAAACAATGACAATGCTGCAGTTACGCTTCGGAAATTTCGCAGTCAAGGACCATTGACTCCACAAACTCTTCGAAGAATGATCACTGAATTCGAGAAACTAGATGTCTAGGAGTTTAACCCTATCAAGATAATACCCATTGACTGTTGTTGAACAGTCAATGAGTATTGTTGGAGGTTCAAGTAGTGCATGTGCAATGTTAAGTGTATCCTATGATGCAGCGTGAAAGATACTAATAAAGTTGGAGCATTATTGCCCATGTAAGATCAGCCATAAGCAGCAATTGCTTACCTCTGACAGAAAAAGACGACTGATCTTTCAATTGACTTTCTTTGCAGAATGAAAGTGGAAGTATCATAGTCATGGTCTGGATTAGATTCATGATATGAGGTAACGCAACTTTGAACAAGCTGCCAAGGGAGGATGCTCCGGGAGGACTTTCTATGGGAAACTAGTCCTTATGTAGGTCTAACACACTTGAAGAAAACCCCAGAAACTCCTTGTGACTAGCCAGTTGTCAAGGCGTAAACCTGCGACGAACTACCACTGTTTAGTGGTTTTATCCATTTGACCACTTCTGATGTGGCGGGCATGAAGACCCTGTGAGTCGACAAAACACATGAAACGCCTTGTGGAACAGTAAATACCTATGATTGTCGCATTTCATGTTTTACAGTAGATTTCAACTGCACTCATCTAAAGTTATAGTTGGATGTGAATTCACAACCACATTATCCTTCGTCCATTTTTGTTCAAAGAAGCTAGTCCCAATGGCCCATAGATAGTGAGAGATGCTTAACACTTTTTTCGTACCCCAATTGCAACAGCGACAATTCCTTCAGTCAACCATTTTGTGTTAAACAGAACGTTTCCATATATCAGACGATGAATACAGCAGTTTCTGGCCACCTCATTTTGCGGATCTTAATATGTATAAATTTCGGTTATGGGACAGTTAAAAAGTGTGGTTTATCTAGGTCTAGGACATGTTGCAAATTTTGCAGCCAGCGTGTGAGAACCGTCAGGGAGATGTTAAAAAATTGTCAAGTAAATTGCGCTTCGAAGCGGTATCCATAACAATTTTACTTGTATTATTATTTTTTATGTCTCAGATGTTTTTGTTTGGATAGAGAATCAATTACGGCCGGCCGTTGAACACACTGTTTCGGATTTTATACCTTCAAAATGGGGCCACATTAAGTAGTATCGTGTATATCGCTATCCCTGAAAAGTATGTGTCTTGTACAGTACATACATAGGTTTGTTCGTTTCGCCCAGAAAGTGTACATTTTTACGTCAATTTGATGTCATTTTTAAACTTATTTATGGTAAAATTGAAAACAATACATCAAATTGATGTGAAAGCGTATACTTTCTGAACAAAACTATATACAGTCGACCCCCTATAACACTGTTGATTATTCCGTTTTATATGAATTCCATGTTGTACGAGTCACTTAGATTTTACAAATACGTGAGCCATTCACAACCCGGCACATGTATTTGTAAAATCTAAGTGACTCGTACAACATGGAATTCATATAAAACGGAATAATCAACAGTGTTATAGGGGG